CTCGCGCCGGCCGGGAGGCGGGCGGCGGCGGCCGAGGTCACGGATCTTCTGCCGTATCGAGGTGGGTCTTTGGGAGCCCCCCTCCCCAGCGGTGGAGAGGAGCTATCGCTTCGACGCCCTCGTTGACGGACTGGGGCCCCACCAGTAGCGGAACACCGTTTTGTCTCCGCAGAACCCGCCGCACAACGACGACGAAAACGACTACGAGTGCGACTACGATTGCGACTACTACCACGACTACGATGTCGACTACAATCACGACTACAGTCACGATTAGAATCGCGATTGCAATCACGACAACAACTACTGTCCTCTTGAAACCTCATGATAAGATGCTCACAAACACACGGGATTATTCCCTTGGAGGAAGAACCACCAAACATTATCCAGCCCGCCCAATAACAGAGGGAGAATACTCTCCGCCGCGACGAAGACAACTACGAGTACGACTACGCCTACGACTATAACCACGACTACGATTACGACTAGCATCGCGACTACAATCGCGATTACAGTCGCGGTTACAACCACGACTACAATCACAACCACTGATTCCTACTGCAATCCTCATGAGATGCTCACAAAACCTCTCGCGCGTAGGGTAGCCCAATATCGATTATTCACTGGGAGAAAGCTCCCCAACATGAAATCCGCCGACCGTCGGCGTGTGTGAGGGGCTTCGTCCGTTCGAGTCGTCATCTCCGTCATTCGTTTGTCGTCGTCTCTGTCGTCCTCTTCCCCCCCTTTCCCAGGGACCGCCTCAGCCCGTCATTCGTTTGCCGTCGTGGCTGTCGTCCTCTTCCCCTCCTTTCCCAGGCGTTGAGGAACGCCGTCGTGGAGTCGAAGGGAAGCCCCTTCCCTTCGACCCCTCCCCCGCCCAGGGGGGGGGGTCCTGGGAGGGGGTCCCGGGAAGGGTCCCAGGGGGGGGGGGGGGTCAGATACGACGCTCTCCCGGGGAGATTCCCGGAGCCCAGAAGAGTTCCAAAAAGGGCCAAGTGTGGTCTAATATGCCCCACAGACGGTCCACGAGAACCCCGGTTCGCCTGACGATTTGTCCAAGACGCCTTCACGGCTTCCAGACGGCCCAAGAGGCCTGCAAGACGCCCCAAGAGGCATCCAGGAGCTTTCCCACGAGAGCCCCAAGAGGCAAAAATCTTAGATTTTCCCTACGTTTTTGCAGGATTCTAGCGTTCTTGCCTCTGACGTTTGCCAACGCGCCAAGACGGCCCAGGACGCCCCCAATATCGCCCCGAGACACCCCAAGAGGCGCTCAAAAGCGTCCCCGAACGGCCCAAGAGGGCCCCAAGACGGCCCAAGACGCCTGCAGGACGTCTCCAGAAATCCTCGGAGGCTTCCAGAGAGCCCCCCCCAAAAAGACCATAATGAAACATCGACTCGAACCCCGATCCTCGATCCTCCTCCTCTTCCTCCTCTGCCTCCTCGTCCTCATCCTCCTCCTTCTCTGTTTCCCCCTCGCACTTCGTAGTTTTTTCCCCCGCACCACCCTGAAACCTGCATGAGCCTCCCAGAATCACCCCCCCCTCTTTTCTCGGCCCACCTCCTCAAACGCTCCAGCCAGAGGAGAATCGAACAACAGCGTAATCGACTCGAAGGGGACCCCGTTCCTGTAATCCCTTCCCCACGAGAGAGGGGAGGTCCCGGGGGAGGGTTAGAGGGAGGAGAAGATCCCGCGGGGTCCCTGGAAGCGTCCTGCGAATCGTGACCCCCCTCCCCTCCCCCTTCTCCGACCGAGAACGCCCAAGAGAGCCCCAGGAACACCCCAAGAGAGGCCGAAGAGGGGGAAAACCAACCCACATTTCAAGCTCCCCACTCCAAGAGGCTACCAGGAGGTCCCGAAATCGCCCATGTTTTTTCGCCTGCTCGACTTCCAGGCTTCATACACTCCACGTCGGCCCCAGTTGCCTCCGAGAGCTCCCCAGAACGGCCCAAGTACACGCCAGGATGGCCGTGGAAGGCCCCAAGACGGCCCAAAGGCACCCCAGGACAGCCCAAGAGGGCCCCAACAAGGACTCGCGATCGTCGTCGCGTCGCCGTCGCCGTCGCCGTCGCCGTCGCCGTCGCCGTCGCCGTCGCCGTCGCCTTCGTCGTCGTCGTCGTCGTCGTCGTCGTCGTCGTCGTTCATCGTCCCCCTTCAGGGTCAGCGGCATCGGCCGTAAAGCCTTCGCAATATCCAGCCCGCACAACAATAAAGGACAAATATTTTCCGCCGCGACGACGACGACGATAATTAATGACCACGAGGAGTAGCAAGAGGAGGACGAGAAGGAGGATCAGGAGGAGGAGCGGGGGAGTTGGAGTTGGAGGAGGAAGAGGAGGAGGAGGAGGAGGAGCAGGAGGAGGAGGAGCAGGAGGAGGGTCGAGTTTGTTCCCGCCGAGAGGAACAAGGGGGGACCAACAAATAAAGACCGATCACGGCTATCCGTCTGCCCTCGGCGTCGTCGCGTTCGTCGTCTAGGGGGGCAAACAACGACATAAACAGAAACACCCAGAGGTACGCGCGGATTTCCCGGATCGGCGCCAGACCTCCCTCCCTGGCGCGCCAGGGGTGCCCAGCGCCGATCCGAGAAATCCGCAGAGACCTCCGAGTTGCTATGTTTGTGTCGTTGCTGGTTCCCCTATATTCGCCTCCCTTCGCCGTTTGTCATGTTCGTCGTCGCTCTGCTCCCCAGCGCCACCCCGGTGGGTGCTCAGTGGTCGTCTCACCCTGCCCTTCCGGAACCTGACTCTGCAGAGGCAGGCCCCTGCCAATCCAGCGCCTGGCCTCCCCACCCCCATCTCTCCCCTACACCTTCCCGATCACCACTTGTCCTGGCCTCTCTGACGCACGCCGTCCGGGAATACCCTCATTGACGAAACGACCGCGTACCACGCTGGGGTCGGACCGAGACGTGACTGGATCGTATTTGGGGCGGGCCGATAGAGAGATAGAGAGGAGGAGGAGGGGGAGGAGGAGGAGGAGGAGGAGGAGGAGGAGGAGGAGGAGGAGGAGGAGGAGGGAGGAGGAGGAGGAGGAGGAGGGAGGAGGAGAGGAGGAGGGAGGAGGAGGGGAGGAGGGAGGAGGAGGAGGAGGAAGGGAGGAGGAGGAACGGGAACATGCCCCGTGTGCTGCCGCCCCCGCCGCCGCGCGCCTTGGAAGTTGGCGGGCAAGCAGTGGGTGAGCGGGGCCTCCTCCCTCCTCCCCCCTCCCCCCCTCCCCCTGCTCCGTCTCCTCTTCCCCTCCTCGCCATCCTCGTCCTCGTTCTCGTCATCGTCCTCCTCCCCCTCGTCCTCGTCAGAATATGATGGGCTCATCTTGGCGTTCGCACGCGCCCTGAACAATCCGGCCACCCATTGACGTCTCCATGTTGGCTCCCTGCTGGTTCCCTGGCAGCTTTCAGCTGGACCGAAGACAGAAGAGCATCCTTCAAGAACATGAGACCCTCCACCGGCCAAAATGAGAACCATTAGAGGGTACCCTCACCCAGGATGCACAAGAACATCCAACAAACATGCATGACTTCCCAACCCGACCTCGATCTTATACCTTGGCCCAGCTCTGGCTTGGAATGGATATGTTTGTTCCCCAGGTTGTGGCAACTGTACATGCGAGCGCCTTGGGCTTTTGAGGCGCCAGCGCTGCGGCCCGCGCGCGGGGTGGATTCTGCCGAGATCCAGCCTATCTACAGAGTGTTCAGTGCCGACGCCGATGGCATCTGCAACTCCGGGCTTGGCATCGCGGCTGCATGCCGTGCCCTGAGAGAGCACCAGCTCGCCATCGCCCGGGCGTCCATTCCCTGTGCATGTTTCAATGTTGTGCGTTCCAGATGATCCAGGATGCTCCTCGATGGGCCTCGCCGAGACAACATACACACGTCCGAGCGATGCCAGGCCAAATCATTTCCGCTCTTGAATGGGAACATTGGATTGCTGCTGCCCCGGGGTGGCACCGCTCTGGCCGGAGTGGCACCGCTCTGGATGGCCCCCACACCCGTTCCTCGCGTCACCCTCCTTACTCCGCTCGGCCAGCTCGCTCGCCGGACTTCGTTGGTTCTTTCCTGTTGCCTCTAGCCTGCGCCGCTGTCCCCGCGCCTCTTGGCGCCACCTGCTGTCTGCATCGCTATGCACCAACCGTTGAGAGGTTCAATACGCTCGCGGTGCCCGCCGTCAGGCTTAGTTCATCGCGCATGTTCGTTTAATCCTCGACGCATATCCCTGCAGGAAGCATCGGCTGCTGGATAATACATGGGACCACACACACACACACACACACACACACACACACACACACACACACACACACACACACACACACACACACACACACACACACACACACACACACACACACACACACACTCACACTCACACTCACACACACACACACACATTCACACACCATACATTACAGAAAGAGATGCTAGAAGTGGAATCATCGCGCGCGCTTCGCGCGCGATCAAGTTCTAGCGCATGCCAGACCGGAACTCCGAAGAAGTCAGAGTCATTACCAATGTCAAGATTATGGTCGTCACCATCATCGCCACCGACGACGTCCAGAACATCGTGATCCGCACCATCACACTCATCACCTCCTCCAGCACCCTCGTCGCACTCAGCATCAACATCATCCTCGCCGTCAGCAGCATGATCAGCATGACCAACATCATCGTCGCCCTCATCACCGTCCTCGTCATCGTAATCGCCGTCATCGCCGCGCGGGCGCTCTGTGGCGTGCCTTGGCTTGCACCGCCACTGGAGGTCTTCCGTCATCGCCATCGTAATCGTAATCGTCATCGTAATCGCCGTCATCGTAATCGCCGTCATCGTCGCCCTCCTCGTCATCGTAATCGCCGTCATCGTCGCCCTCGTCACCGTCCTCGTCATCGTAATCGCCGTCACGATCATCATCGCCGTCATCGTCGGGCGGGCGCTCTGTGACGTGCCTCGGCCTGCACCGCCACGGGAGGTCCTCCGAGAGCCCTCGCCGAGGCCGCGCCGCGGGG